AAAAAAAAATTAATAAACAACTTACAGATATGGGAACCAAGCATGTAGAGGCCTTCGTCGTTTCAATGGTGCGACGCTCCGGTGGGAGGACAAATGGGTGTGAATACTTCTGATACCATTCCATGTAATCAGTATGTGTAGCTCCAGCATCATCCGATGTGACTGGGGTATAATGTAGAATATTCACGGAACCCAGGATCGGGAAGGTCTTCCATCCGTCTGACGCAGAAATCAATGGGAAATCCAACTTGTAGTTATGTTTGCCCTGACTGCGAGTGACCTTCGTCGGGTGGAGGATAGTGGGTGGAATCGTCTGAACCATCCCTACCTGTCGCATAACACGTGCTGGCATATAAGGCTCACATATGTCACGGTACTGAAGCCAGCCATAATAAAGTGTCCTCGGACAGGTAACATGTACATCCTCACCGTATGGCGTCCACACAACCTACAACGAACAATAACAAAAAAAAAGAGTTAGTCATAACAAACAAATAATTATAAGCAATTTAACAAAATTTAAGAACTTTTTAACTAATACTTACATCACTAGCCTCCAAATTGTCAAGCTGTCGCCAGTAACCATCCAATGCGACAGATGAAGCTTTGGATGCTTTTGAGTCCACTTTCCATCTGCATGTATGGGCTTGCCCATCCTCTATAACATGTGGAAACATATGGGGTCGAAAGGTCAGAAAATACTCATAGATCCAAGTCTGCAGAAGAGTAAGGCAACCAGCAATACCTCCTGCATCAATTCTGCTAGCCATTCCCATCTGTCGGTACATGTGCGCTAGAACAGCAGAACCCCAAGAATAACTAGATAACGTGCCAATTCCCTTTTGGATCTCATGCAAAGGCCCAGGCCTAATTCTATTTCCACTCTTATCTACAAACAAAGTGGAACCAAAGCCAGCCACAACCAACCCTCTACCTATCTCTGGATATCAACCCCCCAGAGTCCTCATTAGCGTATTCACAACAGAGATATTAGTAACCCCACCACTCTGGTAAAAAGAAGGCAAGTCAAGCGTTTCCACCTTGCATAATTTTTTTACCAACTCCTGCACCTCGGTAGAAGTAAGATCCTTGCTTACCGGCTCACCATCAATTGGAATCCTCAAAATATGCTCAACATCATGCAGCATTATGGTCATTTCACCAAATGGAAGGTGAAATGTATTAGTGTCAGGCTGCCAGCGCTCAATAAAGGCATTGATCAAGGAAACATCAATGGTATCATGCATGCAAGAAGGGAGATGCGACAAACCTGTGCCTACAACCTCACTCCTCAAATCATTATCCTTCATCCACTCAGCCAACCAATTCAATGTCAATGTTCGAGTATGCATCTTCAACGTCTTTTTTTCTCCCGTAGACCAAACCTGATACGCAACATGGCCACAGAAACTCGGAATGATTGTTCCATCAATAGGGCCACCCGGCACTGGTTCTTTTACAAGCCATTCGGAACCGAAGATGTCTTACTACCAACTGCAATAATGTACAAAAAAAAAAAACAATAGATAACAAATAAAGACATTATTAATTTATAATTTATAATAAATACAGACCATATTTGAGTCACATGAATTAATTTAAGAACTTTGTATACTTACATCACTAGCCTCCAAAATATTATTATTATTATTATTATTATTATTATTATTATTATTATTATTATTATTATTATTATTATTATTATTATTATTTTGAAAGTTTACCTCGAGTGTGAATCACTTCCTTCTTCTTGTGCCCGTTTGTCGCCTTCATCCTCGCCTTGTTTTCACCATTGGCACCCTCATCTTCTTCGTCAACATCATCATCTTCTTCTCCACGTTCTTCTCCACGCTCATCTTGTTCTAGGTTATCTTCTTCATTATCATCATCATCCTCCTCCTCCTCCTCTTCATCCGATTGGTATATAGACAAGTCTTCACCACGCTTTGTCCGACATTCTGCAAGAACATCATCCTCCGTCCGATTTTTCTTAACTGCTAAACTTGCTTTTCTCTGTATCTCCTTCTTCTTTGCCTCACGAAGCATTTGTTGCTTCTCTTGACGTGTGGCGCGAGCTAAATCAAGTTCTTCTTGTTTTTTCCGACGGGCGGAGGAATCAACATGTCGGGACTTGACGTTACGTCCTCTTTTCTCTTCCGGTTGTGACTGAAAATATGTATTTAAGGTGTTAGTGGAAAAAATAAAATGTTTATATGCGACAAGTCAATATCGACATTAAAATAAGAAAACACTTGGGGAATTAAGAAAAAATAAAATGTTCATGTTCATGTTATGATAAGTATATCTTCCCAGACACACCTCCAATAATTTCACTTAGAGTCCGTTTGGTTCAAATAATGGATAGAGCATGATATAGTCTTTTTGATTATTTCAAAGGCTATCCATCTATTTAGTTAGGCTATTAACTTGTTTGGTTTACAAATTGGTTCTTATTGAAATTACTTTTTTATCCTCTATTTCAATTTAATTTTCAAAATTATTCCAACAATTGAAAAATGGAGTTTGGAAAATGAAAATAGCAGTTCCAGTTCTTCAAACGCATCTAAAATTTCTGTACCTAGCAAATTTCCGGCGGCCATAAACTTGAAGCAATTTATACATAAAATTTGTTAAAACAACATCAATTTTACAAATTCTCCCATAGAAGGTTGAGCAAAGAAGAAAAATAACGAATCTAGGGCCTGGTCAAAATAACGAGCAACAAGAGGAGTAAGGGGCGGGCGATGATGTCTATCAAGGCGGCGACGGAGTACCGCTTGTTCGAGGAGCCCCTTTCCGGCGACGACGACCGTCGCCGCTTCTGGCTTTAGGACGCTGAGGTCCTCTTCTACTCCGCCGACGATCTGCTTGACGGAACTCAAAATCTACCAAATTCGAACTGAAGTCTCTTGTGTTGTTGCTTCACGATTTTTTTTAAAGGGAGAAGAAAGAAGAAGAAAAATAAAAAAGAAAAAGAAGAAGAAGAACAGGAAGGAGGAAGGAGGAAGGAGGAGAGAAGATGGGGGACGGATGAAAGAGAAAAAAAAAAAAAAAAGAAGAAAGAAAAGTTTGGATATTTTTGGATCTTTTTATTTGGAAGGCCCCGATATAAGGCATCCCAACCTTAAAGCAGGATAGTGTATAAACAATTTAAATGATAAGTGACCGGGCCATGCGCATTTTTCAGGGCCAAAAGCAGTTCAATCAAACACAATAAACACAATGATACAATAAAAAACATGGTGATATCATGTCCTATCAACCCAACCAAACTGACCCTTAAGGTACAATCATTAGTTTAGTCAACTGCAACCAATTTTATATGCATCAGTTAATCAATCAGACATGTATAGTCAAGGAAATTTATAGTATGAATGTATGATTTTTGAATAGCAACACTATTTGAAATATCATCCCAAATTCTTCGTATATTGATTTTTTATTTCTGAATAACAACATAATTATCTATTAGAAAGTATAGAATCAATTTCGAGCTCAAAATCAGCTTATATAACAACATCAACTTATATAAAACTTACCATGGCCGACCATTTTCCTTTTGATTTAGCACGATCTCCACTACCACCGGTTTTCATTTCAGCCTTCACATTTCACATAACAGCATAACACCAAGTCACAAAACATTACAAAACAAGGCAAAGACTTCACATGCACAATATCACTTTCTACTCTAGCTTAAGCATGATAAACAAAATGTTGCCTTTGATCTGAAAGAGTAAAGGAAATTACAACATAATGCTGCCTTTGATCTGAAAGAGTGAAGGAACAAAAAAAAAAAAAAAAAATCCTCTCATTTCATTTTGTGGGGCTCATGAGAAAAGTAATTTGTTTTCAGAATGCAAATTCTCCTCAAAAGCAACAATATATACAAAGTGAACTAAACTACTCAGCGCTAAGTCACACTGTCAAACTAATACAAAGAGCAAAGGGAACATAAGTTTACTCCTGAATAAAATTTGCATCATGTAATACAATAACTTCTAAGACATTCCTTAAAACAATATCAGACTCCATGTGTATTAAAGTAAGAAATATACACATAAATGACTTTGCCAGTTAACAGAAATATCAACAATTTTTCTCTCTTTAGATGGCAACAGTTGACTAGTAACTCTCTTTGTTGCTAAATATAGTTCCGGCTGAGAATAGAACACATTGGGAAATCAAACTGAGATTGAGCTTTTGCAAAAGTGAAAATGCACTAGTCGTACTTCAGAAACAAGAATGTTAAATTACCAAAATTGCTAGTTCAATAAGCTAAAAAGTAAAAAAGCACAACATTTAGCAGTGCCATTAATCCTATTATCTTTGTTTTCTTTCTTTATTACTACTTCACATTTCATTTTTTCATGAAGCTTGAGCTACTAATTCTTCCCCTGTCGTCAGATAGTCTGTATAGATGGCTTAACTCAACTTTTATTCATTCATTTGTTGCACATGAATGTCCATGTACTTTATTAGTTTAATGCTGAAAGTGAAGCTTGGTAATTCATTTTGTATTAAGCAAGATATCCAAAGTCCAACTTGACGACAAATACCCACAAATCATAACTGCTCAAACTCAAATCGAATCAAATTCCCAACAATTATCAATTCAAGACCCACCATAAAGGGATGTGAAGAAAATACTTTCATCAACTTGAACATTACAAAATGACGAGCCAATGGATGTGTTCGGTTGGGACGGTTCTCAGCTCAAAATTGTTTATGGGACTCGGAAAATATCTCGGGTCACCTGAGATGTTGTTGCATTCCACTCTCCTGGATGCTCGTCTCAGCCACAGAAATGGTCAGGCCTCAACCGTGGGTTGATTCTCTCAACTGGTGGCTCTCGTCGGAATCTGGTTTGGGCACGGCGGAGGTCGCGTGGTTCCAGACGTCTGAAATCCGTTGGTGGTGCTGCTCTTGGTCGTCGGACTTAGGCCCTCAGTATGCTCGTCAGCCACCTTGGCTGGGATCGACTACCGTGCCTGGGCTCGGCTCGGCTCGCCTCGCCTCGCCTCGCCTCGCTGTCGGGAAGTGGTCAGCCTTCAAGGTTTGTCGCCGTCGGCAGAGAAGAGAAGGGTTAGTGTATTGAGAGAGGAAATTGGGATAGACGATGACTAGGGTTAGGATTTGGGCCATATGTTTTATTCAAATTGGGCCTGTGCTGGCTAGGTGTATACTTGCCTAGTACATTTTTTATTTTTTAAAACGGGTCAGCACATTTGATGTCCAAAAACTGACACCGACTAAATTAAATGAAAAATTATGAGCATATAATCGAAAACGGCCAATTTTCCGATATAAACCGACTCAATGTTTTAGTCAAGATTAAATTTATGCAACTAAAATTGAATTTTAAAATTTAAATAAAATATAATAATGTTTTTTCTCAAAATAATATTTATATAACATTTCATACCATATAAATTATAATACATAATAAGACTAAGAAAAATATCGAGAAATTTAAGTAAGTTTAAAAAAAAAAAAGAAAAAAAATATTGGCGGGTCGGCCTGGACCCAGCACGACATGCCAAAGTCCAAATTATGGACATGGTTCTGGACCTGTTGACGACGAGTCGATTCTAAGCCAATTCGGTCAATTCGAGTCGAACCGTCGGGCTGGGCCGCTCTTTAGCCATGACTATTATTCCTAACCCGTAAAATATAAACAGAAGCGTGCATGAGGTCCTAAGTGAGATTCAGTCATATTTGAAAATTTGACCATTGGTCAACCGTTGTATATTAGGAAGTGTTCAATAATATATAGATTATTTTTTCTTTATTTTTAAAAACTTTTTATTATTAATGACATGATGTTTCACTAATAAGTACTTTGAATTGTAACTGATTTTTGCTTTTTAAAAGGGACAAAGATAATAAAACCCCGTGCATCGCACGGGGTCTGTACTAATTAGTTATAAACTAATAAGATATTAATTATATATGTAACTGAATTTTGACCATCGATATCAACGGTCATATTTGATAACTAAATTATATTTCCAACTGTTAGATTTGAAAATTTGACCTGATCCAACAGTCATATTTGAAAATTTGACCGTTGGCCAACCGTTGTGGAAACGGCAAGCAGGGTAGAAACTGAACCCAGACTCAGACCGCGAAATTGAATTTAAAAAATAAAACATAAAAAAAATCTAGCACTTAGATCTTCAAAGGTCAAAAGCTTTTAACGACCCAGACCAGGCCACGAGCTAGCTTGACCCGGTCAACAGATTAAAAAAAAGGTAAATATGGCGGGACGTCTCGAGGGCCAGCCCGGACCCGGCCCACCTAGTGAAAATGTTTTACACACGAGTCCAACATTGTCCTGGTAAAAAACTATGGACTCAGTTCTAAGTGAGGTATATTCACAACTATCATAATTATCAATAGACTAATAAGATATCAAAAATATTTCATAACTAAATCTTGACCAACAGTCAAAAGCTTTCAACAATCTAGATTAGCGGATTGCCACCGGTCCAATATAAGGCCACGGGTCGGCTTGACTCTGTCAACAAATTAAAAAAAGGAAAATATGATTACGATGTTAATTTGACTTCTAAGTTTAACTATCAGACGTTTCATAGGGACTTAAGCTTCCTACTGGGACGTTAATTTGACTCCCCACTTAGCTTAAAAACGTTTGTTTTCATAAAAAAGATTCCACGTTGGACGTTTGCTTGGCTACCAAGCACAACTTCTGGACGTTTGCTTTCATAGGCAAGCTTCAATCAAGAACGTTTGGTATGCTTTAAAGCTTAGCTCTTGGACGATGCTTACATGACTCTCAAGCTTTGCATTTGGACGTTTCTCTTCACAGTAGAGCTTCTATATTGAACGTTTCCATGCCTTACAAGCTTAGCTTCTGAACGTTTGTTGTGCATTGAAGCTTTCATGCTGGGCGTTTGTTTACCTTACAAGCAGAGCAACTAGACGTTTGATTTCATAAGCAAGCTTTGTTTATAAACGTTTGTTGTGCTCCGAAGCTTAAATCCCGGATGTTTCACATGGCGTCAAGCTTTCGATTTAGACGTTTATCGGCATAATAAACTTGAAATGTAAAAGTTTTACATGTGTTGCCCCTTCTCATTTAAACGTTTCTCTTCAGAGTCGGGCTTCGTCATTGGACGTTTCCCTGGCTTTGAAGCATAGCCATTGGACTTTGGTTTCACAGTCGGGCTTCCACGCAGGACGTTTCTTTTGTTGCCAAGTTTAGCATTTAGACGTTTGTTCGGCTTCCAAGCATAGCTAATAGACGTTTGGATATATTTTTTTTAGTAATTTTTTTCTTACCACAAGGATATTTTTGTAAATTTATCATTTTTTATTATTATTTTCGGGCGACAAGTAGTAATTTGAGGCGGCAAATAGCAGTCCTGTTCTTTTGTAAGAAAAATAAAGGCAAAAATTGTATTTCTAGTCCTGCTAGTTTAACGCGTTGTAAGAAAAATAAAGGCAAAAATTGTATGACAAATTAAAACTAGTACACGACCCGTAAGGTACAAATAATTAATAATAAATTACATTATATTCATTTCGAAATAGGTATCATTTCAAAAAAAATTATTCGAAAATTCGATTTGACTACAATGTGATTCAAGTAGTACACACACACACATATATATATATATATATACACACACACAAAAATAATATAATATGTTCCACGCACATTTAGAAAGAAGTATCGACTATAGTATTCTCCAGATTTATCAATGGGTTAGTACCACTAACGACATGATTGGTATAATAATGGAATGAAATGCCGTACTAATGGAATAAATTGAAGAATGAAATGATTATGGGAATGAAATGAAACATGTTTTGTTGTTGATGCGACAGGTATGCGCAGAAGGAACAAGACCTGGAATGACATTATCATTTATTATTTAAAAATAAAATAAAAGCTTTTTTAAGAAAATAATATATTTTTAATAATTTATATATAAATGCTTTTTTTAATAATATATAATAAATCAAGGTTAGAAAGCAGCCATTGCGTGGTGGTTAAATGGAAGAACTCGCCCCGCTGCTCTACCGGAACCAAAGCATCCCACACAGGTTTTACAAAAGGACAGTCCCGCAACACATGAGTGAGGGTCGAATATTAACAATAAGGATGAGGCTCTCCAAAACATCTTACTAAAAATGCCCTAAGTATGGTTCTTTTGTAAGAAAAATAAAGGCAAAAATTGTATTTCTAGTCCTGCGCGTTGTAGCATGTTTTGGTCCCAAAATTTCAACTTTTTGTCTTTTGATCCTGTAATTTAGTATTTTGATGCAATTTTCAGTCATTCGGGACTGAAATTGCAACAAAATTTAAAATTAGATGACTTAAATTGTTAATAAAAAATTCATCCAAAAAATTTTTTGTTGACAATTTAAGTACTGTAATTTTAAATTTTGTTGCATTTTCAGTCTCAATTACTAAAATTGCATTGAATTATATAATCATAGGACCAAGTACTAAAAATGTATAATTCTTAGGACAAAAAAAGGCCGCTGAATCAAGACTAAAATTGCAATTTTGCAAAAAATTATATATCAATGCATAGAAAAACAAGTTTAGTTTTATATACATAAAAAGTCGTGCACGGTATGGGTTTTGACAGGTCCGATCCGGCTCAACAAAGTAAACAATGAATCAAAGTGTGATACAGAGTTAGGACATAAACACAAAAGAGCACGTAACAGTACCAGCCAATATAAGCCTATATATACATGTATAGATAACGTATGGAATAAAAAGAAAAAAGAGTAAACACACCCAATATCTCTTGCTCACATTATCAATACAAATTATGAAGGTCTCTAACTTGAAAACCCTGCCCTTGTTGGTGATACTTGTGCTTGTGATTGCTAGTTTTGTGCAGGAAAGCACGGGTGATCCATGTGAGAGCACATTTTTCTCGGCACTCTTCCAGCTCATGCCTTGCCAGGAAGCCGTGTCTCCTTTCAGCCCAATTCCTCCAACCGAGGCTTGCTGTGCCTCGGTCAAGGCTCTTGGGCAGCCTTGTCTTTGTATGTTTGTAAATGGGCCCCGGATTTCTATGGTTGATCGAACCATGGCTATGCAGCTGCCCGAGAAGTGCAGTGCCAACTTTGGACCATGTAAAGATATTAATAAAATCAGATTCAATCTGTTTGCATATGTTGGTTCTTGAATTTTTCTCCTAGTTTATTTGCAAAATAGTATTGGTTTAAGAACTTAATCGCGAAAACTATGTAGAAGTTCCCCCCATGTTTGTTTCTGTTATGCGTAATCAAAAATCTCTTTGGGGGTACTTTGTCGGGAGAATTTTAACAGTTGTGGGGAAATGTGGGATATAATGTTTTCATGTTTTCGTTTTTATGCAGGCGAAATCACTAAATGAGAGATCATGACAAATAATGAAGGGCACAAAATAAATGTGGTGAAGGGACTAAAGATGAGACTTGAAAGGAATCCGCTTATATTTAGTTATTTACTCTGAATGTGGTCAAATAAGTATAATAATAAGCAAAACTGTAGTAGTCTGATTTTATGATGTTTGGAGGTTATAGTTTTCCAGTTGTTGTCCTCGTTGTTTAATCATTCTTGTTGCAAGAAAATAGTTTCCTTAACGCACATACATTTTGCAAGCTACTTATAAGTTATAAAAGCATTATTATTACTAGCTAGTGAGCAACCAGTACAATGCACGGTGAAACTTGTTTCTCAAAACCATTTTAAAACTTAATTTTAAATTGGTACGAATCCCGTGCGATGCACGGATAAAAAATATTATTTAACATTTATAAATGTAATGTTCTCATTAAATAATATTTATAAACTAAAAATATATGATTAATATGTAATACAACTTACCTGCTATATTAATTGGTTGAAAATGTTATAAGAAATATAAATTGTGCAAAATTACATTAAATATGTCAAATTAAAACTAGTACACGACCCGTAAGGTACAAATAATTAATAATAAATTACATTATATTCATTTCGAAATAGGTATCATTTCAAAAAAAAATTATTCGAAAATTCGATTTGACTACAATGTGATTCAAGTAGTACATATATATATATATATATATAAATATATATAAATATATACACACACAAAAACAATATAATATGTTCCACGCACATTTAGAAAGAAATATCGACTATAGTATTCTTCAGATTTATCAATGGGTTAATACCACTAACGACATGATTGGTATAATAATGGAATGAAATGCCCGTACTAATGGAATAAATTGAAGAATGAAATGATTATGGGAATGAAATGAAACATGTTTTGTTGTTGATGCGACTGGTATGCGCAGAAGGAACAAGACGTGGAATGACATTATCATTTATTATTTAAAAATAAAATAAAAGCTTTTTTAAGAAAATAATATATTTTTAATAATTTATATATAAATGCTTTTTTTTAATAATATATAATAATAAAATAATATATTTTTAATAATATAAATATAATATATTTTTAAAAATATATAAAAATAAATAATACATTTTTAAAATATATATAAAAATAACATATTCTTAAAAGTAATATATGTAACACCCCACCTTACTGTAAAATCAGAGTAGCGCAGTAATTCGCAAAGTCTTTAAAAACTAAAACATTTTTACTTTGCGAAACTAATTTGGGGTGCTACCGTGAAAAATTGTTACTTAACTTTAGAAAAACCGTTGTTTTAATTTAATAAAAACATCCGGTTACTGAAAACTTTATTTTCTTAAAAGTTCGTCAAGGTGATGAGTTCGTTAAAAACTTACGTCAAAAAATAGCAAAAACATCATCACAAGTCATCAAAACATAAGCGGAAGCGTAAGTTATATTTATACAGTCCAAAAACATATATAAATGTCCTGAAAGTCCCGTCATGCCCCGTCACGTCACGCTCCCGGCCCGACATCCTGACCTGAAAAACATGATAAAACTGGGGAGTGAGCACTAAGGCACTGTGCTTCGTGGAAACTCATACTAATGTAAAACATCGTAAATAATAACAATATCATGAACTAAGAGTATATATCTGAACTGAACTGATACCGGTCTGAACTCGCGACCGAAGTCACGTACT